TTCCTTTCCCTTCCTTTCTTTCCTCCACCCCCTCCCTAATTCCTTTTTCTATTTCAATTTCTTCCTACTTCACAATACCTATTATACATTTTGGTTCTTATTTATTCTTTTAGTATCTAACACCAAAAAATTTGATATTTACACTATGTGCCCTATTTATTTGATTTGAAAGTATGGTCTCAAGGTTTATCCATTTAGCTAGAAATGTTGCAAGTTTATCCTTCTTAATGGCTGAGTAATACTAAATTGTAAAACAAGAAACCTGCATCTTTTTTATCCATTCATTAGTTGATAGGCATTTTGGCTGTTTTCAATATTTAGATGTTTAAAACTTTGCTGTTATAAACATGGGTGTGGGTATATCACTGTGGTATTTTAATTATTTCAAGAAGATACAATGAAGGGGAATAGCTGGGGCAAATGGGACCACTAGTACTAGTTTTTGAGGAACCTCCACACTGATTTCCCAATATATTTTCTCATTTCTCTGTATTTTGTTATTTTTGTGCCAAGAAAATGCAGAAAAAAATCTCTGACATAGTTTTCAGAACTCTGAATAATAAGCAATGTATACATTTAGACTGAAATTATTAAGTATTATTTTCATGTAATTAAATATATCAACAATGTCAGTAATTTTTCAATTTGAATGATTTTCCCATTGATGCAACACATGTTTGCATATTTTAGATGGACAGCATGAGTTTTGATTGGTATATAAATACTAGTATTTTAATTATCTTTCTAGCTTATCAATTCAAAGGGAAAAAATTGGCTGTGAGAGGTACCATTGCTTCTCAGGTTGGTGGCCCACCTCTGTGCCCAGTAGTCTAATTTTCATCAAAAGTGAAAAAGCGTTCCTTTTTCCAGGCAGCCCCACCAGCATTTGTTAATGTTTCGTTATTTGATAATAGTCATTCTTTCTGGAATGAGATGTATTATCACCATTGTCTTATTTTCCCTCTCTCAAGATACCAGTGATATTGAAGATTTTTTCATATATTTATTTCCCTTTTATACATTTTCATCTGAAAAGTATGTGTTCATCTGAGATGCCCATTTTTGACTGGGTCATTAGATTTGGAGAATCTGATTTTTTTCAGTTCTTTATATGATCTAGATATCAATCATTTGTATATCAAAATTTTTGACACACTTAGCTCTGTTGGATAGTTTATTTTATTTTGCTTTTTAATAAAACGAGATCCAAGTTTCTGATTCTTTGTAGGATTTTCCATCTAATCAACGTTTTTTTCTATGAAGTCTTTGCTTACATTTGTATCTCCAAGAATTCTATCTATTCTCTTTCCCAGCAGATTTAGTGTTTCTGTTTTGATATTCATATCTTTGACCCCTTTTGATTTTAGCTCACTGTATGATGATCATCTTTTATCCTGAAGCTTGCTTACACTATATTTCTCTTCATTAATCTCTTTATTTTCCCCCATCCATCTTAACCTTCTCCCCAAGAAAGGGTTAAAATCACTACACTAAGGGGGAAACTCAACATACAAGTTCCTGGTTTATGTTGGCTTTGTTAGACAACTGTAGCTCTTTCTCCTAATGTTAAAGGAACCAATTTATTAGGTAGAATAGCTTTTCAGTTGCTAGGTTGTGTTTGATGTTATTGTTCTTGATAATTGTACTACTTTAGCTAGGAAGTCACATCTGTCATAATTCTCCTTTGTAAGACAACACTGTAATTGCCTGGAACCATAATCATCACCATAGTTTAGTACCAAATGACTAGGTCTTGAGCCAAATACATAGTAAATTATCATCCCTAATAAATTGGTTATGTAGGATCTTGGGACCTAGAGGACACATCTGAGGAATAGAGGACACATCTAAGGAAGCCTTGATATTAGTGATAAAAATACCTACCATAAGCAATTTTTAAGCATAAACACAGAAAACAAAAACAAGTGACAAGTTGCAGAAACAACTTCAGCCAACCAACTCACCTCGGATGAATGGAGGGGTAAAGGAGATAGAGGAAGTCAAAAGATACCCACCTGAATTTCCTGAAATGGTAGCAACAAAAGAAGAAAAAAACCCAGATAAACTAGGCTATAGAGAAAACCAGATCAGAAATAATCTCTCAGGTAAAAATGTTTATGATTCCATGATGAATCTAGTGTAGACACTGATTTAAAAAAATAGAGCTTAGGAAAATTATGGAAATCATAAATACCAAACATATAAGTGAAATGGAATCCATAATATAGATTCAAACAGATATCCAGGAGATTAGAAATAGCATTGAAAGTATATACAATTGAATTAAACAAGGCTAAGGTAGAATATCAGATCTAGAAGACAGGATTGTAGTGAGTGAGCACAAAAAGAAAGATTTCTTAAAATAGCAAGGGACCAGGGCTGGACGAATAGCTCAGCGGATTAAAGCGCCTGCCAGTAGGCCCAGGGCCAGGGGTTCAATCCCAGGCCCTGCTGTGCCAGCCCCACCCCTGTGGCGCGCTGGGACAGTGAATGAGACTGGGCGTGGTAGCTCTTAGGAGGCTATAAACAGGTGGATCACGACGAGTCCAGTCTAGTACTGGGACACGGGACATCCCATAGATCCTTCCATAAAAAAAAAAAAAAAAAAAAAAAAAAAAGGGACCATGAAAAATCAATTTAACAATTGCAAGATGAGATAAAAAAAAATCACACAAGATTGATCAGAGTCAATGAGAAAGCAGGAGACTGCACAAACTATATAAAAACATGTTCACAGAAATAATGGCAGAAAACATGGAAAAAAGAACTTGACATACACATAAGTGACCAAAATAGACCTACACATGGAAAAAAGAATTTGACATAAACATAAATGACCAAAATAAACCTACACTAAGGCATATAATAATCGAGATTCTAGAGCAGAGTATTAAAAGCTATTACAAAAAAAAAGTCACCTTAAAGGAAAGCCCATCAGAATTATAGCAGACTTCTCTGCAAAAAAGCTTACATCAGGCAGAGCTTGAAATGAAGTATTTCAAGTCACAAAAATCCCCAACATAGACTGATGTTCTCTAAAACTGTCTTTTGAAATCAATGCAGAAATAAGATACTCATAACAAAGAACAACTGAAGAAATTTATGACCATGAAACCAATTCTCTAAAAGATTCTGAAGATACTTTAGAAAGAGATAGGACTACAATGCCCAAAAAAATTAAATAGAAAGAATCCACCAGGCAAGACCAGCAATTAAACAATTAATTGTTGAAACAGCAATTAATTTACCAGGCAAGACCAGGGGAAAGACAGGGAACCAACAATAGGAAAATAAAATGAAAAGTTTCATCTATCTAGGTCTCTTTAATCCATGTTTATTTCAATATATGGTGAGAGTTAATGGTCCAGAGTTACATTTCTATACATAGATAATCAGTTTTCTCTAAACAGTTTGTTAAATGATGTCTTTTCCTCAGTGTATGTTTTTGGATCCTTTGTCAAAAATCAAACAATTGAGGGTGCCTAGGGTCATTTCTGGATCATCAATTCTATTCCATTGATCAATGTGTCTAATTTTTGTGTTAACTGCCACCTTTCTATGAACCCAACCAAATAGAAGTATCTAGAATATATTTTTAAATGCTGTAACATTTTTCCTTATGCACTGAAATTAAAACTTCTCTAATTTTGATATGAAATTCATTTTCAATAAGAATCATAGATATTACACTAAACATATGCCTTGATTGAAATTAAAAAATTAATTTATAAACCATATTAAAATAGAGTTTAAAACTTTCAGATTCGCATAATTTGTACCAAACTATAGAAATATTTTCCAGAGGCTAGCCTAATACATAAGTAAGATACATCAATTATGTACATGTAAATTAGGCTTGTAAGTATGTGGTAGTATCATTTCACATTTATCAAATATCAGATTTATCATAACCTTGAGAAGTAGATATTATTTGCCTTTTGTAGCTAAGGGGTGTATGTTTAAGTAACCTGCCTTAAGCCATCTAGCTAATGAAGGAGCTAGGACATAACTTCTGCATAATTCTTTCCAGGTATAGCATCTGACTCATTGGGACAAAGGTCATGAGACCTGAAAGTCACACTTTTAGGGGATCTAGGTGGTGGGCTCTATGGTTCTTGCTTATTTTCCTAGAAGGAACTTAAGTATTATGGATTCTCAGAATTTAGGTGAGTCAAACCTCATAATTTTATAATTAAATAAACTTTACACCCTGAGAGACTAATTAACCAAACTTCCAAATCTGACCCTTTCATCTCTTCATCTCTTACTAGAAAAAAAAAAAAAAAACCACTAAACTAATCTAAAAACTCCAGTAGGGCCTCAGAGATAGCTCAACAGTCCAAGCCCCTGCCTAGGCAAGTCCCAGGACTCGGGTTCGATCCGCAGGGGTACCACACACCATGCCGGCCTCAGCTCCAGGCACACCAAGCAGGCCACCAAGACCAGGCATGGTGGCACATGCCTGTAATCCCAGCTTTTGGGAGCTGAAAATGAAAGATCACTACAAGTCTGAGCTGCATAGTAAGACTGTGTACCAAATACATTAATTTCTTTTTTTATAAAATGAAGTAAATGTATGTTTAAAAAGTGTGTAAGAAAAATTAGTCTGGCAAAAATTCTTTTGCATCATTAATTCAGACATCAGTTATCTTGCAGTATTTAATAAAGCTCTCAGAATTTGACTAAGTAATAATGTAATGGACATTTGTAGAAACAAAACAGGGTCGTTGGAAAAGTATGGGCTTTGGCATTAAGCAGCCCCAAATCTGAACCTAAGCAGCCCCAAATCTGAACCTTAACTGCCATTATACATTGTATATCTTTAGTCAAGTTACTTATTTGGAGTCTCAATTTTCTCATTTAAAAATAGTAATATTCATATAATTATTTGTGGTAGTTTTACAAATATTATTTGGTGTGATTTTAGATATATTTTATATTTTATTGTAGTCTAAATCTCTGCCCTTTTATTTAGATCCTAAATGTGGTGCTTTTTCCCAATGATATATTTCATCCTAATTGTTGGAAGTATTTATGGTGTCTTTGGACAACAAAATCCTGAAGCAAATATGAATATTGTAAGTTGTTAGGAAATTCATCTTTTTAAAAATACGTCTTAATTGCTGAAATAATAGATAATGCTACAGGTTAAATGTTAGAGTTTTTAAATTTCATTTCAATTACAAATTTATTTATTTATAAATGTTAGAGTTTTTAAGTTAATGAATTTATAATCAAATATAATCAATCGAACTCTGCATTTGTATATTTTGATACTGGTTAATGAATGTTTTTCATCTACTATAGCTTCATTTCCCTTTCAGCATATTCTACCTCTGTAATAAAAGCGCATATGCTTTATATATGAATATGGCTTCATGGAGGACATATGTGCTTTTTCTATATACTCAGAAATTGATAAATTTCAAATTAAATATAGGAATATACATGAAAATATTCACAGAAACACATATATTTTTAAATTGTGTATGATTGAGCACATAAAGTATAAGTGACTAGTATATAGAAAAGAAAATTTTAGTGGGCTGGTTTTGGAGTTATGTATTTGAAATTAGCGATTTAAGATTTTTAAGTTTATCTTTGAAAGTTTATCTTTGAAACACTAATGTTAAAGACTCATACTTAATAAGTGTTCCACAAATATTTATTACTTATGTGAACCAGTGAATTATTGAGAATAAAAATACATAGGCCTCAGGTTGAGAGCGAATACAAAAAAATTGCATAATATGTTGTAAGTGGAAAACCATTAAACATATCCAGTTAATAATTTTATGCTATAAGGTTTGATTTTTTTTCTTTAACCAGAGCCAAATAATTTCCTACTGGGGCTACCCTGATGAAGAGTATAATATTGTAACTGAAGATGGCTATGTCCTTGGTCTTTATAGAATTCCTTATGGGAAGATCAACAGTAGTAGTTCAGGTAAAATAACTGAACATAGAATGGTGACTATCTGGTGCTTGAATGTCTTACCTTTTATATGTCTGAGGAAAGAGAAGGATTTTAAGATTAAGTGAACTTCTCCTGCATCTTCCTGCATACTTCAAGAAGTAAATCTTATTCTCCACTGGCTTATTACTCATACAGTGGTTTGAAAGTACTTTGTGGTGGGTCACAATTTATTCATCCTATGTTTTCATTCAACTGAATTCATCATCCATGTTGATTCAATAGAATTTCTTTGTTTGATGAGAGATTAAAAGACTCTGAAACAACAGCATTGTTCTTTTATAGACTTGAAGAAAGACTGGTAAATATTTCCTCCTGTGTCTATAATTTTGTCCTCTAGTAATAGGAGATACTGAATTGCTAACAGCTTTATGGCTCTGTTTTCCAACAATATCAGCAATGTGGTGTAAAATGCACTAGAATAGTTAGGAGACCTGGGCTGTAATCCTAGATCCACCATATACTGCTGAAATATATAGTAGATTATTTTTCTTATCTAATTGCCCAAATAGAATCCAAGTTTTTTTTTCTCCTCAGATTTTCTTCTTGGAAATGCTGTTTCTTCTATTATAGAACATTCTCTCAAGCTTTTATTTCAAACATTAAAGTACACTTCAGGGAAATTAATTTGAAGCAACCTAAATTAATGTAACTTGGGATATTTAGAAAAGATCACATCTAACAGGGAGAAAATTTTCAAAGTTCTCACATAATAATAGTAAATACCCCTCATAATGTGATTTCATTTTGCAAGCACTCTAATAAAATATATAAAGATAATAGTAAAATACACAAAGTGCCTTAGAGTGCTCTACTGTTAGAGCACTGTCAAAAGTAAGTAATGTATGAATTAGAATCAGGTAAGAGAAGCAGCTAAGGAAGGGTATGATTCTGCTGGAGTTTAGTGATTTCAGAAGAGCCCCTGGGGAATCTCATGAGTATCTCTGAAAAGCTGATCACTCTCTGAAGTTTAGGAATCAATTTCCTGCATTCCATATTGGCTAATTACTGCCCACAGATTATCCCTAGACGAATGCAGAATCTCTTTGATTTAGGGAAATTTTGGCAGAGAAAGGAGCAATGATGAATCTTTAGAGAGAAACACAAAGGTCACAATTACTTCCTCCACAATACCTGATGGGGTGAAACCAAGTTTTCATCCTCGCTGGCAAACCTATCTATACCAGATCAAAGTTACTGTGCATATGCACACATAGTTAAAAGAGCATGGAATGTTTAAGAATGCCTGACTGCAGAAGGTTTGTACTGAGAGCCTTGTAATTTAAGAGAAATCTGAGATTGATGATTCCGAAATTCTTCCCAGAAATACTCATCTTAATACATTAAGTCTCAGAGGCCCAGTTTTGACCTATCATATCCTAAATATAAAATAAGTTATACCCAGTGCTAAGAACTCTGCTTTTCTGCAGATCTGTTACTCTTACAAATAGTAAGTTGTGACCAAAACTTTCAACTCAATTTTTCCTCAAACTGTAAGACATGCAAGTAGTTAGGTGCTACCAAGGAAGCCTTAAGACTTTCACATTATGCTTTCATGGGTGATTTTTGCCTGAGTCTGTTACTTGTTTTCTTCAAAACGTTGGCACTCAACAATGACCACCCAGTCCCACAGAACTCATAATTACATATCCTTTGTATCTCAAAACTGTCAGAGACACTATAAAAACCATTCAATCTTTTTTTGGATTTAATCCTAGTTCACTACAGATGATATTCTAGCCATTGTAGTGCTAGTTTCTTTCAACATTCCACCCAGGCAGAAAGTAATTCAACTCCATAATCTCATCTTGAAATGTCTGCTTCCTTGACTACAGTGGTAATTCTTAGGTTAACTTCCAAGAAATGGACTAAAAATTTTAAGGGATTCCACGGTGACCTTCAAGATACAGATTTTCCTGCACATAATTGTTTGAGAGAATTCATAGGGAAAGGTAATGGGTGAAACAGAAAAGAGCCAAGGAAGGAGTTAAGAAAAGTTGCAGTTTTACCTAAAATCCAGCCTCACGCTGGTGCATTCACTTCTTACAGAACACAAAGCATATCAGAGTCATCAAACCATGCAGCAAAGGAGTTAGCATTTTCCTCCTTTGTGTCTTTAGTCAAGGTATAGATTTATCTCCCTCCTGCCCCAATGTGGGGAATCTCTTGTAGACAAAATTACATTATTCGCAATATAATAATTTTCAAAACCCTTGGAAATACAGAATATTTGGAAGTCAGATGCCTAAAAGAGTGGCTATACAACATGGCATCAATATTGAATATGTGTGTGAAAATGTAACCATAGAATTGCTTTATGAAATGTAAAGGTGGGAAAACCAGATAAAAGATTTTCATGGTTTAAAAAATTTTTTGCAATTTTTCCCCAGCAAGAAGGCTTGTTGTGTACTTGCAACATGGTTTGCTTACATCTGCCACCACCTGGGTTTCCAACCTTCCCAACAACAGCCTAGGCTTCATCCTGGCAGACGCTGGTTATGATGTGTGGATGGGGAACAGCAGGGGAAGCACCTGGTCCAGGAAACACGTACACCTAAAAGCAGATTCTCAAGAATTCTGGGCTTTCAGGTACAGATTATGTAACCTTTTGTTTCATGTTAAAAACCCACTCAGCATTTCATTTTTTTCTGAGCACTATTTTCTCAAGTCAGTACTTTCCATACAATAAAAATTGATGTACATTTGAAATTTATGTAAATTTTGATAATTGGAATACTTGTTTGAGTATGACTTTATTACTCGTTTTTCATGAACACATTTTATTTCTTAATATTTTCTTAACCTATTGACCGATTCTATCCTTATTTTTATTTGCTTTATTAATTGGGGACTTAAGTATTGCTCTACCACACTGTACTTACAACTGTGTTTGTAAGACTGCCCGTAGTTACAGTTCCTTAACTTTGGTTTCCCTACAGAAGTTTCTATTCAGTAGGTACAGTATATCATATAACTTCTTGATCGTATTCAAATACAATTGAAAATTGGCTTTATTCATTTACCTGTTGAGTATCTTCAAATGTTAATTTAACATTATCAAGTAGTACAATTTTTATTTCCTTTTTTCTTTTGTAGTTTTGATGAGATGGCTAAATATGACCTTCCAGCTTCAATTGATTTCATTGTGAAGCAAACAGGACAAAAAGAAATATTTTATATAGGGCATTCACAGGGTACTACTATTGGTATGCTAAAGAATATACTGCTATTCTTCATGTTAACAACTTTAAACAATTATTTCATATAATGTTTGCTATCCTCTGTATCCTAAGAAGGCAAGAAGTTTTTAAATATATGAAAAATAAAGTTTAAAGTTTATATTTATTGACTGTGATGGCCAGCCAGATAGCTCAGCAGATTAAAACTCCTGCTTAGGCAAATGCAGGGACAAGGCTTCAAACTTTGGCATGTTGTGCTGGGCCCACTTCTGGGGCACACTGAGACAGCAACTGAGATTGGGCATGGTGGCGTGCACCTGTAATCTCAGCGCTTGGGAGCCTGAAAACAGGAGGATCGTTAGAGTCTGATCTGTGTAGTGAGACCCTGCAGATCCTGTATGAAATACATTAAAAATAATAATAAATAAATAAGTACATAAATAAAAATTATTTTGTTTATTGACTCACCTGAAGTGTGAAATTCACCTGTGAAAATTTTACTAATATCGTTTTTAACATTGCTAGTTATACAAGTGGTCAATATTTCTAATTTTTATTCAATATAATTAATCTTGATTTTGATTGGTTTTGTTACAAGTGTGCTTCATTACTAAATTATCATCCTTTATAGGTCTTTCTACAACTCTAATTAGCAGCAATATGTTGTGGTCAGAATAATGCCACTGAGTGGCCAAAAATGTTTGATAAATGAATTAAGAAATGGGTAAATTAGTCATTCAAATGCGTGGGTTTTTTAAAAAAATTTACTCTTAGTCTCTGTGAGGTCATTTTACCTCTAGTAGTTGCTTAAAAATAGTTTACTACACCATACAAAATACAAATAATTTTTATTTTCTTTTAGCTTTCATAGCATTTTCTACAATACCAAAGATAGCTGAAAAAATTAAAGTATTTTTTGCTTTAGCACCAGTGTATTCTGTTAAACACACAAAATGCCCTTTAATTAAAATGGCATACAAACTGAAGTCAATAATCAAGGTATGTTCTACTTTTCTTTTGTGTAGTCGATAACCTAATGTAACAATGATGTTGTGCTTTCAATTTATGTCTGTACAGCCACATCTTTGAATTGGGATTTTAGTTTCATTTTCATTAGACCTTTGCCTTTGTTTCTACAAAGGAATAAAATATTACTTGTTACATCTTTAGATAATGCATTGTGAGAGAAAACCCAGTGGTGAGAACCATCTCTACATCTGATTCCAAGGTTTTTCTTTCATGTAATTTTTAAAAATTAATATGAGATAACTCATTTCATTGCATATTTAGTAAATTCATCATCTAATTTCTTAATTCATGATTGTGGCCTTAGCCAGGCACGGCAGTGCACACTTGTAGTCCTAGTACTATGGGAGGCTGGGGAAGGAAGATCGTAATTTAGAGGCTAGCCAGGCTACAGAGAGTTCAAGGTCTACCTGGAGCATGGCTAGATCCTGTGTCAGAAATGATAAGCTCTTAGGTAAGAAATCGCTACATTAAAATGGTTGTGGTCATCTAAATGTGAGTAAATTTATTTTACAGGCTTTTTCTGGCAATAAAGACTTCCTACCTAAAACTTCATTTAACAATTTTATTGGTTCAAAATTCTGTTCATTACATAGTTTTGATAAAATTTGCCTCCACGCTTTGTTTATGATGTTTGGATATGACCGAGAGAACTTAAATATGGTGAGAACAAGTTGTGCTTCTAATGTATTTTTTGCCAATTGTAGAAAGTAGCTTTAAGTGCTTATGTCGTGCACTGTGTTGTCTATGACTTGTCTATATGCACAAGTTGTACTATGTATACCAGCAAAGGGATTCTTAGCCTGATTTTATGACTACAGCAACATTGTACAACTAATTTGCATGAGCATTTGGTTCCATATTGTTTTGCTATCTGTGAAGACCAGAGAGCAGTTGCTCTGGTGAGTATCTTCAGTAGCTTTTCCTAAATTGGACCTTAATTTCCTGACTTTTTTTGTATTTAGATAGTCTAGTCATCTAGTCTCCTTAACTCCTCTTTTTATGCCCTGGTACTTAACACTCCTCATCTGCTTTGTTGATTATTTCATAATTAGAATTAGTGCCTGTCAAGTAACAAAGCTTCTAGCATTCATTGTTACTCTCAAGAGTATTGTGGTGCTCAAACTACTATTATCTAGAGTTGTTGGACTGATTGTATATGTGTTCTCTTAAAGCTGTAGACATTCATTCTTTTTTTAAAAATGTATTTAGTACAGGGTCTACACGGTCTCACTACACAGATTGGACTCGTAGTGATCCTCTGTAGGCATTCATTCTAAGGTTTCGGGGAGCATTAAATAAGAAGCCCAGATTTAACATAAGCAACTGCAGCATTGGATGGTGTCTGGTTCTTTTCAGAAATTCTCAGTAAGACCTAATTAACACATTCAGAGAAATACAGGTATTTCATAGTTTACAACTACATTTTCATGGCATGAGGACATGTTGATTTTATTCAGTCTCATGAAAGTGTTTTCTCATTCCCTGAGAATTATATAGACAATTGCAGGAATATGAAAGAAATGTTTCACAATATAAAAAATGAACCTTTGCCCAGAAAGTGGGAGAAATGTACTTTTTTGACATAGAATGCACTTACTGTGAAAAAAATCAAAACAATAGTAGTCTTTATTCTCACTTGCCTTAATTATTCATTCTATATTTTGTGTAATATAGTTTACTAGTACTATATTTTTGTATTTATGAGAATTTCTTCTAGGACAGAAGTTGGTAGTGTTGTAGATTGTACTGTAGCTCTACCTTAAATCATTTTAGATTGTAGAATGTTAGAAGTGAAAGAATTTCACAGAGAGCATTTAGGAAAAAGAAGAGCAATAGTATAGTTAACCTTGCATCAGTTGACTTGAGCCTATTACTTACTGTTCACCTTTCTTACAGTTGTCCTCATTCTTGTTTCTTTCTCTACAGGATGCTCAGGGTCCAACTACTAGATCAGACTCATAGTGATCTGCCTGTTTACAGCCTCCCAAGAGCTGGGATTACAGGTGCCACCACCACACCCAGTCTCAATTGCAGTATAAGCGCACCCCAGTAGAGGGACAGGGAGATGGTGGGGGGCAGAGCCAGGGCACAGCAGGCCTGGGGATTGAACCCTAGCCCCTACGCCTGCTTGCAGGCAGTTTAATCCACTGAGCTATTTGGTCAGCCCTTGTCTTGGTTCTTAATGAGGTTTCTGTTTATGAGTTGCTGATACACTATGCAGTGAATCTCTGTATTCACCTGCCTGTTTCTCTAGTTTTATTCTGTCATGTCAGTTTGTGGATGGCCCTAAAAGGAGCTGTTGATTTTCAGATGTTTAACTTTTTATGATGGAGTGGTGACTTCCAACTTCCTCTGATGCTGGACCAGCAATAAGAATAATTCTGTGATCCTCTCAGTTTTTAAAGATATTTTACTTATTGGAGGAGCGTACATTTTTATTTTATTTAGGAGTATTAATTTTTTCTATCATAACTTAAAGACATCTTTTTCCTAGCTCTGGTTTTCAAAGTTTCATAGTTATTATGCTGAAGGTAATGTGTCTTAATGTATCTTTTTTTTCTGATATCTTTATTTTTTTAAATCTTTGTTTTTCAGCAGTTTGATTATGATGTACCTAGGCATAGATGGGATCTTTTTGTTATATTGTTTGGGGTTCACTGAACTTCTTTCGTCAAATTTGGAAATGTCTCACCAATTTTTTATTTAATTCTCTTTTTTGATTTCACATATCAAGTTACATAAATATTGGACCGTCTGAGAGTGCCCATTGTCTTTCATTGATTGCTCTATTTTATTTTTTCTATGCCAAAGCTTGAATATTTTTCTAGGAACTTGTATTTGTCCTTTCTAATCCACTTTTAAACTCACCTGATGCATTTTTAAATTTCAAGTACTGTCTTTTTCATTTCTTGGTCATTTGACTATAAAAATAATCTACCCATGTATGTGGTGTTACTTTCTATGGTTTCACTTACCCTGGGTCAACTGTGATTTGAAAATCTTACTTTAGCACAGTAGGAGTTAAGATACTTTGAGAAAAACAGAGAATGAAAGACTGCAATATATAGGTCAGAGATAAACAGAGACAAAGAAAATAGTGTACACTATATACAGTGCTCAGTATGTGTGTCTTAGACAGAAGTCTCAGTTCCCAAGATTACCATATGACAAGCCAGTTTCAGCTTGAGTTTTAGAAGGCACACTGAAATCACAGCAGTTACCTCCCACTTAAGAGTTTTGGCTTATTTATCTTTTAATCCCCTCCAATTCTCCTTAATTCAAGGGTCTTTGTGTTTTCATAATCTGATAACTAAAATGCAACTGTACAGCAGCCAGACTTTCTGATCTTTCTTCATTCTACTCAGTAAGACTGCCACTCTCTTGTCTGCTTTGCTCCACTACTTTGGACAACACCTTAGAATGAAAATTGGAATTAATGAATGGTTTTCTTCTAGTATTTTCCTTCCCTCAATGTTCAGATCCTGTAGCAGTTGCCATTTCAATTTCTGGAGGCCTGGCTAATTTCTTTATAGTTCACTTCTGATAGCATCCAAGATATTTGTTAGGTTTCCTTTCTGCCTATTTTTATTTAGTACCTAGTCTCATGAACTTCTCTTTTCTGAAACTGAGTGGGACTTACTAATTTTAAAATTTATTTGTACTCATAAATTAGTAATAAGACAAACGTTCGCATTTTCTTCTGGGAAGGAATATTATTGCCTTTAAGGAGACAGAGTTCACTCCGATATAAGACAACTGTATGTCTATTCTCAGAGATTATAAAGGAAATAAAAATTTAAATTGTAGATCAACTTAATAACAGATATACTTCTGACTAAGGTTGAGCAATATAGAATTTGGAGTCCACATTGACTGTGGACAGTGTTTCATTTTTGAATCCTCCAGCTTGGCAGGTTCTGGTCATTAATTTTTATTTTCCTCAGTGAATTCATCTTAGAATGAAATATCAAAGTCCTTGGTATTAGCAAGAAACTTTAAGGACACAATGTTTTCATTTCTCTGGTTTTGAGGCTAATTGTTTTCTATCCTGTTAATTTATTTCTATCTTGTCAGTTCCTTGATGTCACGTGTGTGTGCGTGCATGTGTTTGTGTGTCTAAATCTTCATTATTTTCATGAAGTGACACAAAATAACTTAGAAATCTAATGATGGTTTCTGCATTTATATAAAATATTTATAATTTAATAAGTATATTTTATATTTAAAATATAATTGGACTTGTTTAATGGATATTACGAATTAAAAATGACTTCCAGTTTTATTTCATTTGTTAAATATCAAAATTATGCTTTATCTGACTGAACTAAGTATAAAAATACTTTGCTTACCCCTTAGAGTCGTTTGGATATATATTTTTCACATAATCCATCAGGAACATCTGTTCAAAATATGGTCCACTGGAGTCAGGTATAAGTGTTAAAGCATATTTGTATATAATTTATAATACTTATAGCCTGCTTTATCACTCTAGGGTCAGCTTTATTGCCATAGAATGACACATTTAGAAAGATAAAGTGAAATTACTCCATATTTGTATAATTCTTTATAGTTTATGAAGTGTGTTAATGTCATAGTCTATTAAATCTGCTAACCTTATTAATGATAGAACAGTGTAACTCTACATTCTACAAAGAAGAAAATGTTGGAACAATAAACTAGGGAAATTCTATCCTGCAGCCTTCATTAACTGACCACAGGCTCAAAGGTGAGACTAGTTCTCCTGATGCCTGCTCTGAAACACTTTATCAAGGCAGCAGAGCTCCTCCGTGTATTTGTAAACTGCTTCAGGAGTACAAGAAGGCTTTGTATACTTTTGTAATTCCAAAGCCAGCAGTTCTTGGCATATAGTATATACTTAACTAATATCTATTCAATGACTGATATTGATAAAGAGAAAAGTCCAATGTGAATGTAATCTTAAATTTGAAAGCCAGGATAATGTAGTAGAAAGAACCTTTTCCTGAGAAGGAAAGACCAAACACTATATTATTTCTTTAAACATTTTTGGCAACAAGATATTGAGCAACTTATTTAACCATTCTGAATTTGTTCCTGATTTTTAAAATGGAATGATTCTGTGTCCTAACAAAAATATTTTGAGAATTAAACAGAATAATAATTAGGAATATTCTTTAACCTTAACGAAGCCTAAATAATTTTAAACTATCATTGTTATATTGGACAAGGCTGTCTCAATGTTCATATGTGTTTACATTTGTTCAGATTTATGAAATAATTGTTTGATATAAGTTATTAAAATATTATGATTTAGATTTAGTTTATTCCCAGTGATTGCTACATTAGGGAAATCTACACATAATTTTCATTTATATATACATTATAATAATATTTATTGATCACTTATCATATGAGTTTATTGCTCTATTTTTAAACTTAAAATCTGGTGGGTATATAAGGATTAAATATTTACATGGCAAATAAGTAATTTAGTACATTACAAAGGGATGGAAGCTATGGGAAAGTGATGAGGAAAAGAATAGGAGAAAAAGGGAGTAGGCCTGCTGGGAAGTGGGTTCTAGTTTGAGTAGAGAAATCAGGCTCTGGAGGGTGTTGGTTGTCACTGTCTAGCTCTGCCCTTGCTTCAGTGCTAGTGAAAATTAAAACTGAGGTGGTCAGCGTGAATATACAGGTAAAAGCTTTAGTTGGAAAGTATAAGAAAATGAAAGGGAAGGGTATGTCCTAACAAAGATCAAGCTAGCCCCCCGCCCCTTACAAAGGAAAATAAGGGAAAAATTCGGAAGGGCTTCAGTTTGAGGAGCAGAAGAACCCACAGGCCTGAAGTGGTTCTGACTGGTCTGCCAGCCAAACACGGGGCCAGTCTTATGGAGCGCTATGGTGGACTGGGGTCTGTTTCATCATTAACACAGGCCTAGTTTCATAGTTCTAGGCGAGTTCTTAAAGCTTGTGAGGTGTTTCATTTCCCACAGCATGATTGTTCTTGCTTGGTGAGGGAAGCCTAAGTCCCCACTGTCAGCAATTGATCCTGCTGGGGGATGACCTCATTATGGGGTTTTCTGTAAGACAAAGCTTATTTTTCCTGGAATCTGGGGTCACTGCTGATGAGGGCAATGGATGGAAACTGCTAGGCATTGCACCAGGTGTTTTAGAACTGGATATTGTAGAAGTTAGAAAATGAATATCTGTGCAAATCCTGAAAATTACTTTCATTACTCCTGTTTGGGTAAATAGGGCAAAAAAATTAGGGCAAATAAATTTTTGTATTACTGATGCTCCCTAAGTGATTAACATGCTTACATGCAGAACAGACTGGTTTTAAGATAATAAGGGAGGCAAGAAATGAAGACAGAGATGCCAGATTTCTCCTGCTTTTAGTTATTCACTGGGCATCTTCAGGTCCAGGCTCTAGACTACTGCTCAGCAAGCCTCGGTGAGTTGCTGATATTTGAGGAAGGTTTGAGGAAGCTGAAGGAATTACCCAGGTGGACTTCTGATGTATCTCAGTCTGCTATAATAAAGTGTAAGTTATATAGCTTATAAATAATACAGATTTTTTTTCTCACAATCCTCCAAGCTTTAAAGTCCAAGGTTGAGGAACTGGCTAGCTTCATTGGGTGGCAAGGAGTTGCTTTCCCATTCATACATGGAAAAATATTATTTGGTCCTATTTTATAAGTGCATTAATTTACTTTTAAAAAGGCCCAAACCTGATAATATTATCACCTTGGTGGTCAAGATTTAAACATTTGAATTTGGGGGAGACACAAACACTCAGGTCACAGTATATGAATGGCATTCCAGACAGAGGAAGGAGCCAAATGAAAACCCCTATTCACGAGCATTTCTTATGAATACCCCTCAGAATCATATATTGCCTCCCTTAGAGACACTTATGAAGAAAATGTGTCTGAAGTGAAGAGGAAGAAACAGAGTAGGAAGAAATGGCAATACATGAGCAACAGGGAGTCAGTTGGTATTTGGCATTCCATGAGAAATTCCCAACTGAAACCTTATAAGCCTTGCCTTTGATGACCTGAATCACCCATCAAGATATGTTTACAGCATTCTGAGCCCACATCTCCAAAATTTTCTGTATTCCTCCCACAATCCAATCCAAAAGCTTCTAAAGCAGATGGTTAGATAGAGTCACAACAATGACCCCAATTCTCCAGTGCCAATTTTCTGTTTTAATCATTTTCCCTCACTGAGACAAATCTCCAACACCTACAGTTAAAGGGAGGAGAGGTTTAATTTTGCTTCACAAGTCAGGGGATCCAGTCCACATATAGTTGACTGGCTATAAGCCAGGAACATCATGATGGAAGTGCATGACAGAAGAGATGTGCTCATTTCATGGCAGACCAGGAGAAAAGAAAGGAGCAGAGGCAAGAATATGTCTTAGGTTATGTTCAAGTGGCCCACCTTCAACAAGGCTGCACTTCTAGTAATACATTCTGTCATAGACTCATAGATTTCTTAATGCATCAATGAGCAGAGCACCCCATGATTACTTTCCAAAAGCCCTACCTCTGAATATAAGAGACTTGGGGGTTAGATGTAAGCCCTAGCAGTTATCCAGAAGACCGAGGGCAGAGGTGGGGATTATGACATGATTGCTGATCCAGAATGCCTACATGAGGTTTGTAATCACAAGTTTAAAGTGATTACATATGTGTAGGCTTTAGCTTTCCTCCAGTTTTATTCAGTCTCTTTAGTGTAGGCATATAGTGGACAGAAAATTTGAGCTTTGTGGGTTGTGTTTTTATAAACAACAGAATTGGGCAAGTGCTGAGTAAATGTCAGAGAGTCATCATAATGATTGACTGTAGGATTTCAGTGTGGTAAGAAAAAGAAATAGGAGATTGAAGAAGGAATAAGATACAGTAAAAAAAACTGGAAGGATGGATGAACTCAAGATTTTGGCAGAGTTGAAGGATTGTGGAGGTTAATGTGATATAGAGAATTAGTAGGTAATGTTCACAAAAGAGAATGAATAAAAACTAGACTATGAAGGTATTGCAGTAACAAAATGATGTAGTCATAGATGAATAGTTGTGCAGGGTGAAAGACAAGTTCTCTTTTGGGGGGAGAAGGTAAGAATTATCTGTAAAAAAAGCAATAAGTGACAAAGGGAATAACTTATACTCAACCACAAATTGTACCTGATATATGGAGGGGCAACCCATTTTGAAGATCTACAGGGGGAGATTGTCAGTAAAGCAAAGAGACTGGAACCATTCAGAGGAGAGATTTAAGATACATCATTGATGATGGAGTTTTAAGAGTTGAGGAGAACTGGAAAGAGGAAGATGTTGAGTCTTATAAAGTTTAGAAATCCAAAGGACATGGGTAACCTCAGTCTGGTGTTCTTGCAATGAAAACATAAGCAGAGGGAAATGGGCATAATCAGGTTGAGTCCAATAAGCTTGCATCAGACAGTAGTGGTGACCTTGAGAAACTTAAGAAAGGAGGTAAGGACTGAAGTCAGTAGTCTGTTGATGAAGCTGAGGGTTTCTGAGGAAGCCTAATGTTGCCTCAGGCTCACAGACCCCCTTTAGAAAGGAAGATTTGGGAGTGTGTGTTTGTGTGAAGAGGACAGAATCCTATATTTAGTTACCCCTTTCCCCATCACCCTTTACATTTTGCATAAAGGAAGGGAGAAGCAAAGAAGCCTTCTGGTATAAATATCAGCAGACACAGTACAATGGGGCATTTGTGCAACACATATCTAACTTGCATCAGCTGCTGCCATAATGAACAGATGAATGTGGCCTCACTTGTTTTTTTTTTTTTTTCTTTCAGCTTCTAGACTCTACTGACTTGAAAGCTTTTGACTGGGGCAGTCCTCAACTTAACCTGGTTCATTTTAATCAGGTATACAAATATGTGCAAACTAAAACACACTTCTTAATCAGCTCAGATTATTGTGTTACAGATCCAGGGTTATCTGTAAATCTTCACAGTGTAATAACACCCTGAGAAGAACTGGCCGATGATAGTCATATTGATTTGAATTTATATTGTTAAAAGCCAACCAAAGCAGCTTTTCCATGTTTCTACTTATTTTAATATTATCAGAGATAAGCCCACAGAAAGACAGTAAAGGAATTTCATTATCTTTCACGAGGAAAAGTATTGTGTTTGTACATAGGAAGTAAAAAACAAAATGCGTTTATTGACTCTAAAACCAGTTTTCCTATTTGGGAAAGTAGAATAAACACATATAATAGCAAAATACAATTTAGAATTTCCTAAAAATATGCCTAGAATAGTGTAAGTGTGATTTAAAAACTTGAAATAGTAAAACCCAGGTCTGTCTGACTTCAAAGTTTTCACCATGTTTTTCTGTCTCAGCTAAAGTCCAGGTCTGATGTTGTCTACTCATATTTAAAAATCTAAAGTAAAATTTAAAGATCAAATTCAATGATACCAGAGCTGACCTAGAGCTTAAATATTCAGAATAAACTATGTACTTAGTTTTGATTTATGTTTGAATTTTTTCCAAGTAAAACTTAGTGTTTATTCTTATATATTCTGCTTTTATAGCACCATTAAGTTGAATAGACTAGATTCAGCTTATTTTAGATTAATATTTAAATTCACTTTGTAAAAATATCGATAGAATGTTCTAATGTATAATTTTCTATTAAACTCATTTTTTCCTCTTTAGACAACTTCTCCAGTGTACAACATAGCAAATATGAATGTGCCGACTGCAACTTGGAATGGTGAAAGGGATTTGTTGGCTGATCCTGAAGATGTTAAAATTTTGCAATCTAAAATCACCAATCTCATTTACCATAAGACTATTTCCTACTACAATCATATAGACTTTTTGTTTGGATTAGATGTCTATCATCAAGTTTATCATGAAATAATTGATATTATTCAAGACAATTTATAAAGAACCATGGTACCCTCTGTTTACAGACCAGTGCTAGTTCTATTGAAAATCCAATTGCTTTTTATTGCTTTGTAAGTTTTTTCACATATTTAAATAAAGTATTCAACAAAAGCATTTTCTATTTTCTCCTTTTCCCCATGTCCTTTGTTAATTAAACTTATAGTAGCTATTATTTCAGGAGAAATGTCAGATTATAAATCAACCCAAAATTTATTGACTTTCTTATTGGAATTTAACTAATACCAGAGACAATAATCTTAACCATTTTTAATTTCAAGAAATAGCATTTAAAGAAAGTTTTTAGCTTCTCTAGAACAATATGAATTTACATTTTTGTAAAAATAAACTTTGGAAGAAAGCTAATTTTCCTTTCTGTTAAATGAAGATTAGAAATACTTGCCTAGATATGGAAAAGAATTCGGGGAGAAAAGAAGATAGTCTGTATGACAGTGTAACATTGTTTCCTTGTCATTTCAGGCCTTGTCCCAAGAATAACCATAGAAAGCATGGCGAGGTTATGTCAACATAACGCAGTGTTTAGCCTGGTCAGAACAATTTCAGCGCTGCCCACCCCAGTGGGTGTTAAGAATAGCAATGATTGAGGTATTATTCATGTATAGATAGAAATGAAGGTGACCTCACAAAATATTACCCACTGCAGCTTGCACATAAAAGAGTCCCTCCACACTGGAGAAGTATACGCATATGATTGAGAAAGTACTAGAAGATGGGATGAGGCTGAAGATTTGAGAATATGCCAAATTAAAAAATTCCAGCCTCACTACAGTAGAAAAAAAATCACCAAAATATAAAGGAAACCTAAATATTAAGAGAAAATATTTGAGAACAATATTATAGGTCATAAATGATTAGCATCCCAAACACATAAAGAATTCACACAACTCAATAGCTGAAAGATAAATAACATGACTGAACATGGACAAAGACCTGAATATGTATTTTTCCAAAGATGCAAAAACAACTACAAAGTATGTGAAAAGTATCTCAATCATACTAGTCATCAGGGAGATACAAACTGAAGGAACAGTGAATATCTCACACCTATTAGAATACCATAGCTATTATGGAAAGATAGTTCATTTGCCAATTTGCAAAACCAGGAATAAGCCTAAAAATCTTTATGTTAAGTAAAGTTATTGCAGAATTTAAGAGATGGGAGAGACCATGGGGAAAGAGGAGGATTTTAAGTGTTGCTGGCTCAGCTGAACTCTGACTAAAGGATTAAGCCCCAAATAAAAGACAGTCTCTAGGTTTTGCACATGTGGCCAGGGGTTGACCAGGGTAGTAGTGCAAAAGCAGGTGGGGTTACAGACAAAGGCAGTTACTGAGGTAATGACAGTTTTGTGACTTAGCCTTGGAAGATAAATAAAATCTTTTTAATCTTGTGGGGAAAGGATGTCATAAACCTCAATGTTGTAAACACTGTGGGGTATTACAGTCACAGTTTGTTTGGTGGGGTCTACCTACGTAGGAGAAAGACCATGGACAGATCTTTTTTTTTTCTCATTTATATATTTGATACAGGGTCTCACTATGCACTCAGACTGGTAGTGATCCTCCTGTTTTCAGCCTCCCCAGTGCTGGGATTATAGGCATGCACCACCATGCCCAGACCTGGTCATCAGCTCAGCACACCCTGGGGGCAGGACCAGCATGGCATGCAGGATTGAGAATCGAACCCTGGTTCCTGAGCTAGCCATAGCAGGTGCTTAGTCCACTGAACTATCTTGCTGGCCCTTCATGGGTAGATCCTGATCAACCCAGTTTGGCTCTTGCTCTATCTGTGTTCATGCCTCCACCTCTTAATGATCTCTTTTTTCCTACAAGTGTAGCTGCTAACAGGTATACTTTTTTTGAGCCTTTTGCTTTATCTCCCAGTCATGGTTAGTGTACACTTTGCCAGCCACCTCCAAAAGCTGGGGTGCAGAATCTTCTAACTTCTGTAATTTGTGCCTAATGTCTACTTGTGCCTGTCCCATAAGGGCTACATTTACCATGTGCTGATTTGCAGGAGCCTCAGGGATAAACACAGTGCAGAGCTTGAATGTATCAAGGCTCTTGAAAAACTACCTGGAACTTTCATTAGTTCCCTGGAGTATTTCTGTGATCTTTCCTATATTTGTGACTCTTTTGCTTTCCTCTTTGAGACCTTATAAGAAAGTCTTTCGATATTTTGTAAGCTTTCTAACAGAGTTGCAACATTTGGGTTCTACTTACCATCCGCCTCTGGGAATTAGCCCTGAGCATACATTAAACATTCAACATTTGTGTTGGGGCATTGTCTTCTCACCAGCAGAGGGCTACTTGGGCCACTCTCTAGCACTCTTCAGTGTTAAAAATCATCGGGAGAAGCTGTTTTGCAATCTGGCCAGGTTGGATTATGCATCTGGAAAATGGATTGCATCAAATCTATAATGGTGTGTGTCTTCTCTGTATAGGAGGGAGTATGGTGTTTCCAGTTAAGGAAGTCAGTGGGCGAGAAAGATGGTAAACAAAGCTCTGTTGTCCCACTTAAATTTAGGCTTCCCTATCACAATAAATGGGCCCCCTAGTGCCTTTCAGGGCTATCTGTAAAGGTGTTGCTCAGCCCAATCAGAGGCAGCTCCTTTGATTGTTTGGACCCTCCTCATCTTCTTCCTGGGGAATGGATTCTGGCTTTTCCTTCATGAGTAGGTTTTGACTCTGGTTTTGGTAAGCAGGGGGCAAAGCAGAGTGTAAGGGGGAGAGGTCCCGGCCTCCTCCAGTGACTCCTGCCGAACTGGTTTCCTTTGCTCTTTTTGTTGTTTCTCTTTCATCCCTGTACCTCTCAGCAGAGCCAGCTCCTCTTTTTCTTTCCCTGTGGGCTCAACTTGGGCTACAAGTGTTTTGCAATATACAGCCAGTGTTGAAGCCATGTATAGTCTGAGTTATATTCAGCCATGAGTTGATGTAGGGAAACTGATCTGGGTGCCCTGATCCTCCTCCATCTCTGTTACCACTTTCTGTACATAGCCATTGTCCCCCATCAACCATCCTCTTGGCTTTCCACCCAACATCAAAGGAGGCTGAATCTATTTCACAAAGAGTTCTCAACCTTTGCCAGTTGTCAACCGCTGTGGTTTGCTGCATAATACTAGGTATGAACTCTTTTAAAATTTTGTAACATACACTCTAATGGGGTGGATTTCAATGCTTATACTCCCTATCTACCAAGTTGTGATGCAAATCACACCCTAAATCATTTTGCTTTTTTCTGATTGGGCTGTCCCTCTCATGGGTGCTTTTGGGCATCACTTAGCAATCAGAGTGTTTGTACAAGCCCAAACTCAGACTCCACAATGTACCTCTGTAGCACTTACAGGGCTCACTGTCAGTCCAGGTCAGCTCCACACTTGCTCAGAGTGTATAGTCTGCCCTAAGGGACCTGTGACCCCACACACTTTACTCCATTCTTTCAGACAGACTCATGTTTTTCCTCTGTCCTAATTCACTTTCCCAACTTTATATTGGCTTTGTGCAGACTTCCTGGTGGGCCACTCCTGTCCCTCTGACTTGGGATATAGGCTTCATCTGACTCCTCTGAGCCTGACTACTCAGTAAAATCCCAGAACTTGATCAGACTCCTCTTCCATCCTTCCAGAGTGGGCCCTGCTTTGGGCCCCAAACCTTCCCATGATCCTGTAGTGCACTGTTCCAGAATCTTCCTGAATCCCCATTGGTTCTGTTGTGCTGGAAGAGGAGAGGTCACCAGGCTGTGGGAGGACCATTTCTCTCTGAAATTTGGTCTTACCATGTGGCATCAGAGGTCTCAGGACTCCCACAGCTTGGGGTCCTCAGGGGCCTGCAAGTAAAGGAGACAGCCAACCTATCATTTCCAATCCCTTCATAGTTGCCAAGAAATGTTGCAGAATTTAAGAGACATGAGAGACCACTGAGAGCACAAGGGCTTTATTAGGTGAACCAGAGTCAGCTAGACTGTGCAAACGACTCAGCACCAAGCAAAAGAAGTCTCTTATGTTTTATACATATGGCCAGGGGTTGGCCTAGTTAGTAGTGCAAAAACAGGTGGGGTTAGAGACAAAGGCAGTTCTCCAGATAATGACAGTTTTGTAACTTAGCCTTGGAATAAAGCCATAATCTTTTGAGTCTTATAGAAAAATGTCATAAACTTGGACGTTGTGAATGCCATGAAGTATTGCGGACTTCTTATCAGGAACACAACAGGAAGGAAAATAGCCTTGAAGAAAAGCAGATCCCAGGAGAACAGGGATATAGTTGTTAACATAATTTGTAACCTCACAGAGGTATGAACTTTTAGGAGAGTGAGTTCAGCAGAGAATTGGAATTCATTTTCTTCTGAGTTTTGCTTTAAGTAAACTAGACACCAAAACAGAAATAAAAAGACTGCATGATATTACTCATGTTGTAGTCTTTAAAAAGCTTAATATATACAGAGAGCATTATAGTGGTAACCAAAGGTAGAAAGGGGGAAAAATTAGAAAATGTGGGTCATTGGGTGCAAAGGTACAGTCATGTAGAATGAATACATCTAAACATTTAATGTTGTTGTGCAACAAATAACTTCAGTTAACAATAGTATGTACTGAAATTTTACTGACAGTAATTTTAGATCTCCTTTTTACATACAAAGTGTGATTAAAAAGTTTTTGCACATACAAGAGAAATAGGAGATACTATGTTAATTTGGTTATCTAACCATTTCACTGTGTATGTGGAAACACCACTTTTTGGTTCATACCATATTTTTTGTTGTAATGGACTTGCCCTGAGCACAACTTGCCCTGATCGTCCACACCAAGAGCAACTTCCCTTCCACTTGCTCTACAGTTCTTTGCTTGTCATATGCAAAAGCCTGGATTATACCTGTTGAGTTCATCATGTGATAACAATTGCTTTTAGGTCACTTAAGTTTAATACGATTATTGAGATATGTGGTTATAAATCTTCCTATTAGTTTTATGTTTTTGCTCCTTTGTGTC